CTGAGTGGTTCTTTAGTGACATGGCTGAGTGGATCTTACATGGGCTACTTTTTGTAACTCTTTTTGTTAATGGCAGAGACTTTTCAGGAAGAAGGTTATATTTATAACCGGCACAGATGAACATGGGGAAAAGATTGCTAGCGCTGCAGGTGCTAATGGCTCCAGTCCAAGGGAACACTGTGATTCTGTTTCACAAGCTTACAAGTTACTTTGGAGAGATGTATATACCTCCATGCATTGTTAAAATTTCAATTATTATGATGACATCATTTTTTGATTATTTATCTTTAACTCGTTCATTATGGCAGTTAGACATTGCTTATGATAAGTTCATTCGAACGACTGACACAAAACATGAAGCCCTAGTGAAGGAATTCTATTCTAAGGTTCTTGCCAATGGTGATATCTATCGGGCTGATTACGAGGGATTGTACTGTGTCAATTGTGAGGAATACAAGGTAATGTCCGGTGTTTAAACAAGCAACTTTTTTTTATCCTATTAATTGTGTAGCTTATCTAAGTTGACTGTAAAGATGGCTAAAAGAATAAAGTTTTCTGGCATGAGTGTATACAATTTGAGATATTATGTGACTCGCTTACTGAAGTCTCTTGAAGAGTTGATAAATTGATATGATGTGATTCTGACCCTCCTATAAATGAAGTTAGTTTTGAGACTACTAAGTGGATAATTTATGTGTCTGAATAAGTTATAGTTGGTTTGTGATATCAAATGGTAATATATTACAACTCAATTAAGGCCAGTATGACTGTGATTCTCAGTCCTTAGTAGTACCCTTTTGCCTCATTTTTCTTGTCCTTTGTTCTTTGCTTGTAAGAGTTTGTCACATTTTCAATTCTCTATGATTACTGTAAATCTGGACTGTGATTATGTACTTTCATTAGACTTATGGGAGAAACCCGAGTAGGGAAAGGACTGGTAGAAGAGGTGAAAGGAACTGAGAGGACCACATAGTAGATCGATATTGCATTTTGAGTGATAAGCACAATGGGATTATATCTAGGGATATGATTATATGTCCAGCTTTTATTATTAGTTTTGAGGTGCGCAAGGCTAATTATAATCACCTTATAAGCTTAGCCAAACACGCAAATAGAAACCATATATATTCTATTGGTTGAATTGGAGAATGTTATACACAAGGAACACAGTTGTACTATGAGTGACCAATCGAATAAAGAATGTGAGCATGTATATTTGTTTGAAGTCAGCTTTCTAGATGTTTACTGCACCATATGACTAGATATTTCTGTTTCCCCTTGTTTAGCTGCTTTATTCCTTTAAACTTCTCCTAATGAAATCTGTAGGATGAGAAAGAATTGCTGGAAAATAATTGCTGTTCCATGCACCTGAACCCATGTGTTCGGAGGAAGGAAGACAATTACTTCTTTGCCCTATCAAAGTATCAAAAACGGTTGGAAGATACTTTAACAGAAAACCCAGATTTTGTCCAGCCATCTTATCGTTTGAATGAGGTTAGGCGATGTCCTGATCTGCACCATTCTACGGAAAGTGCTCCTGCTTTTTTGTAGCATCTTTTAAGCATGTAGTAATCTATGGCCTTGTCTTTACAAGATTTATTGTAGCTTCACTTTCTTTCTGCTTGAACTTCCGTAGGTGCAAGGTTGGATCAAAAGTGGCTTGAGAGATTTCTCCATTTCACGAGCATCAGTAGATTGGGGCATTGCAGTTCCTAATGATGATAAACAAACTATTTACGTATGGTTTGATGCTTTGTTGGGGTAATATATCAATTCCATGACTAGTTCTAACTCATTGTGCCTGACGAAATCCTAATCTCCTCTAGCAAGTCGAATTTTAATTTTTAAAATCATAGCTTTTGCATTCCCAATCTAGTAACTATTCTAACACAGTTGAGGATCATGACTAATTTTTATATTGAATTCTTTTTCTCTCTTCTTGTCAAGCAGTTATATATCTGCTCTATTGGATGATAAGGAGAAACCTAATTTACAAACTGCCATTTCTTCCGGTTGGCCTGCATCTCTACACTTGATTGGCAAGGTATTCATACTACTAACTCTTCAGACAGAGTGTTGTCATTGTTTATATTTTCTTTTCTCTGGATTTAGGGAAACAAGCTAGTCAATTAGTATTCAAATGTCAACAGATTAACCTGTCTATTCTATGTATGTAGAAACGAAGTCATTTTCATCATTAATAATTCCAATAAATATATTAGTTGGAGCTCATAACATGAACTTATGTCGTTGTTTTAGGTTGTGTTGAGGCCCTTATGGATAAAATTTATAAATCTTGAATGATGCCTCAGTAAACGGTCTTCAAGGTCAGGACAGAGCCTAATTTGTGATGCACTTGTTTAATTAATTTACTCTCTTATGAGTAATGCCCTGCTTATTGTCTCTTCCACTAAAGTGGACTCGTTCAGTTTCATGCTAGTAACTTTTCAGTGACTTAAGACAGTTAATTGCATCCGTAATTTCTTTATTTTCCTTTTCATTGATGAAGGAGACATCGTCCTTTTCCTAATTGACTAGAAATGTCATGGAGTTCATTTATATATTGCTTTTATATGATTGCTATTTGACAAATATATGCAGGATATATTACGATTTCATGCTGTTTATTGGCCAGCAATGCTCATGTCAGCAGGACTAAGCCTCCCGAAGATGGTTTTTGGCCATGGATTCTTGACAAAGGTATCTAAATTAGTTTTTCATCTTTTACCTTGAACCTTGAAAGATTGTTTTTAATACGGTTTCTACCTATTTTCTGCTTGTATAAAATACAGTTCGTTATGCATGCATTTACTATTTTTCTCATTTAATTTACTTTATTTAACAAGCAATGCTTTTCATTTGATAGGATGGCTTGAAAATGGGAAAATCACTGGGAAATACACTTGAGCCTACTGACTTGGTGCACAGATTTGGCTCTGATGCAGTCAGGTACTTCTTTCTCAAGGAGGTGGAATTTGGTAGTGATGGGGACTACTCAGAGGACCGTTTTATCAATATTATTAATGCGCATCTTGCGAACACGATTGGTATTATTTCTCATCAATTTTATATACCCAATTGCATTTTGGATTCATGTTTGTTTAGATTCTTGAACCCATGACGTATATTTTAAATCCTTTATGTAGCTGCATTTGTAGTCGATGAACAAAGGCAAATTGAGTTGGATATTGTTCTTATTCAGATAATCTATGGAATGCCAAAACTTGTGCTCGTGTTTGTTCATTCACTTGTCTGCGAGGAAAGAGCTGTCTATATGCACCTGAAAGAAAGTTAAATAGTAAAAATTCAGTTTTCTTAGGAGTTAAATTATCTTTTACAATGACTAATGTAATTTTTCTGCTTTCAGTGATAAATATTTTATGTACTTCGGAATATATTTTTAAGGTTGTAATAACTGTTCTGTTAAAAACATAACAAACAAACAAAACAAGGGATATTCATGGTAGGCTCATTCAATTTGAAAGAACTCTAACCAAGCTTAAAATTGAGCTCTATTTGTAGCCCTAGCATTTGACAGAGAATGATAATATCGGGATGAAAATCAAAATAATCATTACAGTTTAAATGCTGGCAAACACTTCAGATTTTTATGTCGGGAGTCTAACTTTAGCTTTATCACAGGGAATCTTCTTAACCGTACACTTGGACTTCTGAAAAAGAATTGCCAATCAACTTTGGCTATTGATTCAGCTATTGCAGCAGAAGGAAATGCATTGAAGGATACGGTGGAGATACTGGTAAAGTTTGCATACAAAAATTCCGTTCTTCTTTGTTGGGAAAGGGACACTTGAACTAGCTCATAATACTATGAACCCTACCATTGTTTTCTTCTCTTAATATACAATACTAGGTTTATGCATAATTTTGACTCTTATTTTTGTAGGCCGAGAAAGCCAGAAAACATTATGAAAACCTAGAGTTGTCATCAGCTTGTGAGGCAGTTCTAGAGATCGGTAATGCCGGGAATGTTTATATCGATGGACAAGCACCATGGTCTCTTTTTAAGCAAGGGGGTTCTGCCTTTGAAACTGCGGCCAAGGTTTCTTCTTTCTACTCTTATCTGTATATTTCATGGAACCTACACGTGCACGTGTAAATATGATTTGCATGATGCTGGGTTGTTTCTACAAACACAAGTATATATGTGTGTATATATCGCTCTCATTAAAATTCGGAATGTGTTAACTTGAACTTCTTTGTCATTTGTTTCTACACTGATAATAACCTTTTGTTTTTCGAATAGGACCTAGTGATTGTATTGGAAGCATTGAGGATCATAGCAATTGCTTTGTCCCCTATTACTCCTAGCTTATGTTTGAGAATATACACCCAGCTTGGTTATTCTGAAGACCAGTTCAAAGCTGTTACTTGGGTTGGTCTCTCTGTGTCAATGCATGGAAATGCGCACGCGTACCTGTACGTACAAGACTGATGATTTATTGTTACAATTTGTTGCAGAATGATACAAAATGGGGCGGGCTGAAGTGCGGTCAGATCATGGCTCAACCAAATCCTGTTTTTGGTAGGATTGAACTTGAGACTGAAGCGAAAAATGCAGGGGAGTCGGCTAAGAGAGCAAGCAAGAAAATGAACAAGACGCCAAAGACCCAAAAGGCAGTTGAAGCCTAGAAATTTTTTGGTTCACCTCATAGGACAGTTTCAAGTTCTTTTTAGTTCGTTAACACTGTTCATTTTTCTTTCAAATTTTTCATTTTGGATGTACATTAAAACCTTATGTACTTAATCTAGAAAGAATTCAGTATTATGGATGATTTTCGCTATATATTCTCCAAATCTTGACTGTTGCGAGTCGTGGTTTTCGTTCTATCTCATGAGTAAGTAAAAGACATCGTTGGTTTTCAGTTATCTTTGAGTTTACTAGAATGCCAAGGAATTCTTGGTGTCTGAGACAACTTGTTGAGCTTCACTTTGTGCAAGATTGTCGACTGGCAATTGTTTACATTCACTAGTGCTGTAAAATGAATGGGGCTGGACAGGCCTGGTACGGACCGAGCCTGACAAAAATCAAGGTCTGGCCGGCCAACCCTGGCCAGCAGAACGAGCCTAATGTCAAATTTATTCCTTCATTATATATCATTTTAAGGTATCTTTTTGAACATTTTGATCTCCCAAGTTATACAAAGAACAGATAAAATTCTGGTTTTCATGTAACACCACTATAACTACGAGTTGTGCTACTGTGCCAGGTCTTTCATAGCAATTGCTTTGTCCCCTATCACTCCTAGCTTATGTTTGAGAATATACACCCAGCTTGGTTATTCTGAAGACCAGTTCAAAGCTGTTACTTGGGTTGGTCTCTCTGTGTCAATGCATGGAAATGCACACGCGTACCTGTACGTACAAGACTGATGATTTATTGTTACAATTTGTTGCAGAATGATACGAAATGGGGCGGGCTGAAGTGCGGTCAGATCATGGCTCAACCAAATCCTGTTTTTGGTAGGATTGAACTTGAGACTGAAGCGAAAAATGCAGGGGAGTCGGCTAAGAAAGCAAGCAAGAAAATGAACAAGACGCCAAAGACCCAAAAGGCAGTTGAAGCCTAGAAATTTTTTGGTTCACCTCGTAGGACAGTTTCAAGTTCTTTTTAGTTCGTTAACGCTGTTCATTTTTCTTTCAAATTTTTCATTTTGGATATACATTAAAACCTTATGTACTTAATCTAGAAAGAATTCAGTATTATGGATGATTTTCGCTATATATTCTCCAAATCTTGACTGTTGCGAGTCGTGGTTTTTTGTTCTATCTCATGAGTAAGTAAACGACATCGTTGGTTTTCAGTTATCTTTGTGTTTACTAGAAAGCCAAGGAATTCTTGGTGTCTGAGACAACTTGTTGAGTTTCACTTTGTGCAAGATTGTTGACTGGCAATTGTTTACATTCACTAGTGGTGTAAAATGAATGGGGCTGGACAGGCCTGGTACGGACTGAGCCTGACAAAAATCGAGGTCTGGCCGGCCAACCCTGGCCAGCAGAACGAGCCTAATGTCAAATTTATTCCTTCATTATATATCATTTTAAGGTATCTTTTTGAACATTTTGATCTCCCAAGTTATACAAAGAACAGATAAAATTCTGGTATTTCATGTAACACCACTATAACTACATACCAAATATTGCCTTAGGTATAAGAAAAATGAAAGTTTTTTTAGGTGCAAATGCTCTCCCAATTGCAGTCTCATCACATTCTCCTTGCTAAGTGGAATGTTTTCTTCAGGAAGTCATTAGCAACTTTATCGTTCCTATGACAATGTACACTCAATATGGTATTAGGGTCGCTGTAATTGTTGTAAGACTTCCAACCAAAACCAGCTATCACACTTCATAATTTACTTGCACAAAAGTAGAATTCAGCTGGAATTCAATAATCCAGCTGATATTTTATTAATGAACTGAAATTGATTGATGAAATAAGAACAAATTGAAGATACAGTATAAGAGATGAGAAGAAGAGAAGAAGATGAGAATCTAGAAGAGAGGAAATGGACTGGAGATCCGTCAATACATTCCACACCTTACTCTTCCCTCCAACTGTTAGTTATAACAATAGAAAAAATGTATGACTAGAGAAATTTTATTCCATATGTACGTGCAATAACTTAAAAGATTAATATTTCAAGATATTAAAATTTGAAGTCATGTACATTAATGTTTCCATCTTAATGTACGTATGCGTGTGCCTTTTGTATCCTTACAAGTTATAAAAATATAGGAAAATATAATACAAGTTATAAAAAAATAAAATACTCTATAAATTAATAAATATTCATTTATCGATAAAGTAATAACCCCTATAAAATAATATTTTTTCTCAATCCTAACATTATTATTTTATAAAGGTTTTGTCGTATGTACACTTGGACGCCACGTTAGACTGCACAAGATTGTAGCTCCAATAGAATATGACAAATGCGTGCACTTCGACAATTAAGTTGGACGATGGAGTGAATATTTTGGTGTGGGAGAGACATAATGGACCAAAATACATGTGTCAGATTGATGAGGGAAATTCATCTTAAGATTAAGAATGTAATCTTTCATTACCTTTGGATATCACTAGGTGTGAGTATTTATAGCCAAGAAAAATGAGTTGAGGTCCATTGGAGAATTGATACATAGCCATTATAGGCATGTGGATCCCATAGCTTAAATTTAAGCTAGAAAATTGTGATTTGATTGAGCGACGATGTTGTATAACTATGACATCAATCACTTCGTGCAGTACACTCTATGCAATTTGGACGAGGTGAGGCGAGGCTTACATCAGATGTCAATTGCCTCGAATAAACACTGTAGCAGAGAAGTGAAGCATTGCCTCCAATAACTACAACACCAAGCAAGGCGCTTAGAGGCATGGCCTAATCGTTTCGAAAAGACACGTGAGCGAGACGATGAGGAGCTAATTGCTGACCTTGGGTGGTCTTCTGCTTGCTTGGCTTTTTATGTGATTTTATGTTCAGCTGACTATCAAGTCACCTGTCGAATAGCGTAACACAAATATTTCCACATTTAAATTCAAACAGAGCAACAACTTTTATTGGTTTAATAAAATAATATTGTTAAGTATCAAGTGTCTCTCTTTGGGCTTCTTCATTTTCTTAAAAATTCAATTTTTTTATAAACGGGACGACATTTGACCTCTATTTTAGGTTTGGACCATCATTATCATTATAGGACAGCAATTACTGGAAATCGGTTTAATGATTTGATGTCATCTTGGGTCTTACGGGGTAAGTATATGGAGGTATATTCGACGAGGATGNACCTTTTTAAGAAGAGTAGTTCAAGATCTTTATTAATTGGTCTGTGTCAACATCATTTATCGATGTGAGATATATATCCCTTAACATGCCCCCGCAAGATGGTGACTCATTTGAGCAGACCAATTTTGAAATCCACGTGCTCATTTTCAGAGTCTTAACGGGATCAAATCGCTCGTTGGAGCATAATGGGCTCTGATACCATGTTAAGAATTGGGGTTCCATCTTAAAAGATCAACCTTGTTAAAAGGAATAGCCTAAAATCTTTATTAATTGGTCTATATCAACATCATTTATCAATATAGAATATATATCCCTTAACACACTCCCGCAAGATGGTGACTCATTTGAGCAGATCAATTTTGAAATCCACGTGCTCATTTTAAAGTCTTAACGGGATCGAATAGCTCGTTGAAACATAATGGACTCTAATACCATGTTAAGAATTGGGGTTCCATCTTAAAATGTCAACATTGTTAAGAGGAGTAGTCCAAAATCTTTATTAATTGATCTGTGTCAACATCATTTATCGATGTGGGATATATATCCCTTAACATACCTCTAGCCTTATTTCCATAACCCATTATCATTCTCTTCTTAGTTTATCTTGACTCAATCTTTCTTATATCCCAACTTTCAACCTCCTTGCTTATGGAGATATTGACTTTCAAATTTATAATTACATGTCAAAACCTATTTCAAAGGATATATGAGGGACATTGTTAGTGGCTATTAACCAAAACTTATTTTATATAATTTTTTTGAAATCATAAAGGGTTGGTAAAAATAACTAGGTGTCAGGCCTTTATATGGAAATCATAACCTATTTTCATACCGAAAGGTAAAGACTTTCGTTCGGTAAAATCGTGCATGCATAAGAGAACACTAACAAGTAATAAACAATATAAGAAAAGTACGAGTATCATTCCTACTAAGACTAGACTTTAATTTGAATTTTATCAATTCGTGATAAAAAAAAAAAAAAAATCGAATGTGTTGCACACAAATGATATTTTAATGTTTTGTATCAATAAATACTAAATTTTATCATAACTAAATGCATATTGAGATGACTTTGAAAAGTTTTATGTGAGAAAGCCATGTTAGGAATCCGACTCCATTAATTTCCCATTCTAATGTTCAACTCTATCTTTTAATCTAATTTGTGTATAAATTGATAATCGGTAATCATATTTTGTTCAACTTCTCCCAATCAAAGTCTAACATATTTCAAGTATGACATATAAATCCCTATCTCAAATTCGAATGCCTGGAAATGCATTAAATCTTAAGATTGCAATATTGATTGCATAAGGATAAACAATTACTCAAGACTAATAGCGAATGAATGTATTGACTCAAGACTATGCCTAGAGGTCCCAGGGATGCTATGCAAACTCGATATTCAGAAGGCTTATGATCACGTGAACTGGAGGTTCCTTCTGTATATGCTTAGGAGGTGTGGATTTGGGGATAAGTGGTGTAAGTGGATTCAGTTCTTCATCTCTACTGTTTCATTTTCAATTTTGGTCACCGATATCCCCGATGGTTACTTTCGGAGTAGCAGTAATGAATGCATCGACTCAAGATTGTGCCTAGGGATCTCAGGGATGCTATGCAAGCTCGATATTCAGAAGGCTTATGATCGCGTGAACTGGAGGTTCCTTCTGTATATGTTTAGGAGGTGTGAATTTGGGGATAGATGGTGTAAGTGGATTCAGTTCTGTATCTCTACTGTTTCATTTTCAGTTTTGGTCAACGGTACCCCCGAGGGCTACTTTCGGAGTAGCAGAGGGTTGAGGCAAGGGGATCCATTGTCTCAATTACTGTTTGTTATTGTAATGGAGGCCCTCAGTAAGATGCTCGAGAAAGCGAGGCGAGAGAATCTCCTTACGGGTTTTACGGTTGGTCAATTGCAGGTGTCCCACTTGTTATTTGCAGATGTCACATTGATTTTTTGTGACGCGGTTGAGGAGCAAGTTAGGAACTTACGTAGGTTGCTCTTATGCTTTGAAGCGGTGTCAGGATTGAAGGTTAATCTGGGAAAATCTGAGGCTATTCCAATAGGGGAAGTCACTAATGTGGAGGAACTAGCTATTATTTTGGGTTGTAGGGTTGCGTAGTTACCTATGTCATATCTTGGACTCCCTCTAGGGGCGCGATTTAAAAGTGTTACTATTTGGAATGCTATTGTGGAGAAGGTGGAAAAGAGGTTGGCAGGGTGGACGCGTATGTATCTCTCGAAGGGTGGCCGTCTAACTCTTATTAAATCTACTCTATCGACTATCCCTATTTATTTTATGTCACTATTTCCGATTCCCGCTGCGGTGGCTAACCGATTAGAGAGGATTAAAATGGAATTTCTTTGGGCATGGTTGGGAGAGAAGATGAAACTTCATTTGGTTAAATTGGGGATTGTTTGCTCTACTTTGAGGATGAGGGGTCTCAGATTGAGGAGGCTTACTTTGTTTAATAAGACATTATTAGGCAAATGGCTGTGGCGTTTTGGTGTGGAGAGAGAAAGTTTTTGGAGAGAAATCATTGGAGCGAAGTATGGTGTGATGGAGGGGGGATGGTGTTCAGGTGAGGGTCGTAGGTCTTGGGTCTTACGGGGTAAGTCTATGGAGGTATATTCGACGAGGATGGAATGACTTTCGGAATAGCTTGACTTTTGAGGTGGGAAATGGTAATAATAT